ATGAAAATTCCTTGTAAACCAGTAGATTTATTTATAAATAACAAACAATTTTTTTTAAGTATTGCATCAAGATCTTCAATTTTATATACGTTTTCCATAATAGTAATAACTACATCATAATTTTTCCCTAAATATTACAACACTAAATTATTAAATATCAATTTCATATTATAATTAATTGATATAATAAATATTTATTCATATAGCACACTTATAAATCATAAAACTTGTAATCAGGATATAAATAAGGAAATAGGAGATCATGCAGCTTTTGGAATAATCCACCAATTTTTTAAAATTAAACATTATCTACAGATTTGCATCGAAACGTTTTTATGATAGTGATTTTAATCACTGTCAGATATCATTTATACTTGTCCTAAATATGCCACATTCAAATTGTGCCACGGCCCCACTGTACTACCGTTTTTTTAATTTATTTTTATACTCCTTGTTCATCATTATACTATAAGATAGTGGACCTATTTTCTATATGCATATGACAGTCGAAGGAGAACATAAAATAGGAATTAATTTTGCTTTTGGAATAATTCACCAATTTTTTTTAAATTAAACACTATCTACATATTTACATTGAAGTGTTTTTTATGAGAATGATTTTAATCACTGTCAGATTAAATCTATACTGGAACCAACTATGCCACGTCTCCACTGTGTTATAATTTGAAAAATGAATGAATCAAAACAATTTTTTTTCAATAAATACCTTAGGTAATTTCCTTTTATATAATAAAATTTGATCATTAAGCTTAATTATTTGAAATTAAAATTATATTAAAAATATTAATATAAAATTAAATAAATATTTAACTTGAAAAATCACAAAAAATTACTAAATAATCAACACCAAACACATATTAGTAATTTCTTTTATGGGGCTTTTGAGTTAAATATTTTTAATACTTTTTTAATTTTATATTAATGTTTGTAATAGGATTTTAATTTAAAATAATACAAATAAAAAATATTATATATTTTCTTCTTATTTATTATGAAGTTTTTAAAAATCAGACCCTTTACCTGCCAACAGAAAATGATTAAAAATAACATATTATAAAAATGTTCCGGAATTATCTTCTATGTTCAAATGGCTGCTATATTTTAAATATATATCATTTGTTAAAATTTTCGATTTTTGATTCTATATTTTTAACTTTAAATTATTATAACAGTTATAATAATTTAAAGTTACTATTTATTTTAAATTAAAAGGATCAAACTAAATTTTTTTTTAATAAACATCTTATGTATTTTTCTAATATTTTGTTGAAAATCTGACCACAAGAGGGATTCAAAATAACAATTATCGCGTTAAATATTAACTAAAAATTTATATTTATTTAATTAAAAAAAATAATTTAGACCTAAAAACCTTTTTATCATACTATTAAAGAGAAATAATACGTTTTGGAAGCATTAACAATATTTTTGGCGATTAAAGAAAGTTCAAGGTTCTATCTTTGTTATCCATAAAATGTAAATAGTTTATTATGAAATAATTTGTTTGAATATAGTTATTAAATATAGGCAATATATTTTTTAAAGCTTTTCTTTTGTAGTTTTATAAAGCTTTAAATATTTCCATTTGTATTTGACCACTTATGTAACTTTTATAAAAGCTAGAATTGATTTATAGCAATCGATTTTCTTTTCTTTTCTACTCCTCAGACTTGAAGTTTCCGATTGTCTCGAGTTATTAACGTATTTTACCTTTATGCAATTGCTGGGTAGTTGTTTTCAAAGGCCAACCAGAAACGAGAGCCATATGGCACTTAAGAGTAAAAACAACAAGACAATGGAAAAAAAATCACCAATTCCTTTTACTCAGATTTGTTCCCAATGGATTCAACGTTATTTTCTACCCATCAAGACACTACACTTTGACTCCCATAGACATAGTATCCTTGTGATAGTGTAGCCAGAGACAATTTATGGCCATTAATGAACCGTAACTTTTAATTTCAGACATTCAGTGACATTTTATTTTTTATAGTATATTTCTAAAGCTGTGTTGTTATAATCAAGTTCGTTTATAAAAATACTTAAGAGAGTATTAGATTGTTTAAAATAAAATAGATATTCCCCCAAAAAATACATATTTTTACAAAAAATGGGGAAAAAAAATTATTATTTTTTATGTTAATAAATATAGAGTTCAATAACTTGTAATTTATAGTTTTACTGTACATAAAGTATAAACAAATAAAATTTTATTTATCAGAAAACAATGCAAAAAATGTAACAATTTATCATTAAAATTAACCAATTTGTTGTATTCTAATTATTTTGATTAATTAACAATAAATTTAATACCACGATGAGAAATTAAAAAGCCAAATACTATATTATTGGAGGAATTTGATATTAATATATTTTTTTTAATTGAATTATGTTTTTATTATATTAGCAATTACTTTTGCATAACTAATAGTTATTTAATTATGAACAATAGCCAAATAATTAAATTAACAATACAATGAGAAACTTAATTCTGTCATAATATCTAACCATATCATTTAAAACAAATTATATCGATTAAAAGAATTAATTAGCTTAACGTAGTGTTTAGGTTTACTATAATTAGAGTTAGCTTAGGTGTTTCCAATCAGATTTTAGAAGTTAAACTCCGGCTAATACAAGGGTTAAATACATGAAAGGATGAAACATTTATAGATTTATTTACAAAACGAATACAAAATACTTAGGATCAAATAGGACCAAAACTTATACGATATTACGAATGAAATTCGGATGTTTTAGTAATTAGTAAACTACTAAATGGAACAAATACTTATATCAAAATACCGTGTACGGGAACAATTCTTCAAATAACATTTCCTAATTACTAAAATAAAAACTTCAAGACATTATAAAATTATCTTTTAGATAAATTAAAATATTTTTGTAATATTTTTATTCTAATATAATATTTTTGTGAGACCAAACCAGTCAAAATATCTTGTGTCAAAATGTCACTATGTACATATAAAAAGTTCATAAAAACCCATCGGTTCATCCCTTATTCTTGTTTAGGGAAACTTCTTTAATATAAATTTAAAATTAAATTAAAGCAAAAAACAACTTTTAGTTTTCGTAAATACATTTCTGGGAACGATTATAAAGGTTTTTTTTTAGCCTGAATATTACTTCTATAATAATATATTATTAATTTTTGATACTCTCTTTAACATATTCAATAATAAATTCGTGTAATTTTATTTGTATATAGAAAATAATACTTGTTTTGATAAAACAGAGATAAATATATAATACATAATTGTTTAAAAACCAACATATAAACCGTTTTCAAATAGTTTATGACAAATTTTGGTTTAATTTTTTCATTATTAAAATAGGATAATTTAATTCTTGTAATTAGAATAATAATTCGTATAAATTATTTATTTTTGCCAAGAATAAATTGTTTTTATGTAAATGTATTTTTTGTGTTTGTCTTCTTAAATCAATCCCAAATTGATATTGTTCATCGATGTGTTGAAATAAAGAATTTTTAAACATACAAAAAAAATATCAAACTTTAAGTCCTCTTTCAATAGCGTCTATGAAATTTGAAAAAAAAAACTATCATTTCTATTATAGGCGAAAATATCTAAAAAATAACAATAGTTTATTGTGAGCTTCATCATAAATACAAAATAAAAATATCATTCAACCCAATTTATACTGGTTGCAACAATGCTGCCTATTAACAATATTAATAATAAAAGAATTATAAAACAGAATAAAATGTATCAAGTTATAATAAAATGACTGAAAAATATTACAATATTGGTATAACGCATATTTTAATGTTAAAATATATGATTTTTTTCATTTATAGTAAGCTTAATTGTTACAAGCTTGTATTAAAAATAAGTATAAACTCTCAAATTATCGTGTATGTACGGCAAGTTGAAAACTACACAAATTTCGACTTATAAGTAGGAAGAATCCCTTTTATGATTATTGAAATTTTAAGTAGAATTAATAAAAAAAGCAAAACATCATTGCGTTTTATTGCCTTTATTTTTTATCCACCAATTAACATCAAATAAAATGAACCGAAAACTTTCAAAAAGGTTTTGATTACACAGAATTATAAAACTTTATTTTTTTAGAATAGTAAATAATTTGTTGAATATATTATATACTTCATCAAGACTATAATTATTATAAATATTTTATTAGTTTTTAATAATGTTCGTATATTTCTATAATTTTTTAAAGGAATTTTTAATGAATGTTTCAATTTTTATGAATTTTGATTCGCATCGAGTGATATTAATTTTGTAAGTTTTGCGTATATTTTAAGGCTTTTCATTATTTATGTTAAATATTTGTCAAATATTATATTACCCTTCAATTATATCAGTGTTAACTGAAAATAAGTGATTGCTGTGTTATTCACAACATGTAGAATTCAAACATAACGAAAGACAATTAATTTATTTATGTGAAAATAACATATGACATACAGAAGAAACTGAATAATTGTACTTGAAATAACTCAAACAATTTTAAAAAATTAAATAATGTTTGTTGATGCATATACTTTTAAATTATTTTAAATTCTATCAGTTTATAAAATTAACGAATCATTAATCGAGTGTTACATTTTTTAGACAAACTTTTTGTCTAAACAAGCCCTCATTTTTAAACTTACTCGTGATATATTATTGACATAGTATTAAGTCAAAGCTAATTGACATTGAATTTGTAAATAACGCAATCGATAACGAAGGGATGTAACTTGTATGCAATAAGTCTATAGACTTTTGTTTATTTGAAGTCAATTAACCGGCTCCCTGTAATTTGCTTCCTGTTTTTCGTCCAAATTTAATATATGTTCAAATAATTCGTCGCCGTGACACTTTTTTTAATGTTCTGTGGGTGAATGGTTATTTATTAGCTTTTTTTTGCACAGCCACCTTTACTCGGGTCTCCCAAAGCTGACAAAAATATTCAACGTCTACCATGTCTGCGCGACGGATCCGGTCTACCACTGCCGCGCGGTCGTCCGCTACACGCGCGCCACCCTGCAAGTACACTCACAATACTTGAACAGGCAAAACGGTTTTTCAGCGATTGCGATGCCCATCGTCGACGGCTCTCACTATTCCACCGACACCCCGGGCCGACTCTGTTGCATGTGATTTTCTGAACAATATTTTTCCCCCTCGAATGTTGTTTACCTGAATTATTTTTATTTCGCGTTTGATTAAAACATTGCAATCATCAGTTAACCCTGAGGAATTGCATTTGTTTATTTTATTTTTAGTTATTCTATTTGAGTGTACTTCCGATTATCATATATATTTTTTAACGTTACAAATTCACTGAAGTTGAAACATCCGGACAGAGGTGAGTACATTTACGGTTTTATAAATAGGTAAATAATTTTATACTTTTAATCAAGTGCAAAACTATATTATGTCTATACAAAGTAAAAATATTAGCAATTTTTTATTTGTACAAAATTTAAATTGTCATCGTGAGCACAATATTTTTAGAATTTTATAACCAGAAAAAATGCACAATATCTGTTTTGCAGTAAGAAAATTTGTTACTTAATTGTTTAAAAATTAATATATAAACTATTTTCAAATAACCAAATAAGCGTTTTAATAATAATAAAAATAAAACTGAATATTTCTATTTATTTTTAAATATAACTATAATAAACTCGTAGCTTGAAAAATAATATATGAAAATTCAAAAAACACCATAGGATTTATATTCATAAACAATATAAAAATGTTAATATTACATTTCCATTTGTGTTACACGTCACTGCATTTGATAGACATTTATTGTATAAAGCCTGTATAATATCAGGCATCAACAAAATTTATATTTATTTATTTCTCAATGAAATTCAATAAATAAATGTGTCATTTTAATATGATATAAGACTGTTTTGTTAAATAGTTTATATACTGCATTTAAATATTAAATCTTTATTAAAACAACATTTTTACAGGTATCATAATTTAATCAATTTAAATTACAGTTCCCTCAAATAATAATATCATGTTAGAACTAAAAATTATTATTATTTCAATTCTTGTAACAAAGTTGTTTGAAATTTATATTGCAATTATTTTGGATATCAAAAATATAAAGTAGCATTCTTCACTTATTTATAAAATGTATTGTGTTATCTATTGAACTATTAGTAAATAATATTTGATATTTAGCATATGCTTGTATGCGTTGTATATAACTCCTGTTGAATTTTTTCAATACTGAACAACTAAATTGCTCGAGTAAAACGATTATTTATATTTTTATAAAAAAGGAAAATTCATGTATTACTGTGAAAGTATATTAAATACTTATCGAGTACTTTTTTTAAAATTAATAAGGTATTATATAATAAAAATTTTAATTTATAATCCGAATTATATAGACTTTAAATATATTTTCCAAGAAAGAGCTCATCTTACAAAAGAGAATTATTAAATTCTCTTAACCACTCCCAGATTAGTAATCAAACTTCAGCTTAGGTAAAACTTATTTAAAAGAAAAAATTTACTTAAAAATATTTCCTGTTTTATAAATAACTTTCTAAGATTAAAAAGTATTTGAATCTTAAAGTGTTTTTTTTTCGAGTTTTGAAACAGTAAAACTAACATGGGTCTTACAACTGACATCAACATATGCTTCATTGCTCTAACACCTCATTCGAGAATTTTCATAATAAAAATAATATTTTGACTATCAAATAAAAAATTATTTTATAGCTAGTTAGAAATAATTGGATGAATAATAATGAATGATAAGTAACGACTTCAAACACACATTATCTATTTAATGACGATATTATCCTATAATCATTATGTAAATTTTCTCATCTTAATAACAAAGGCTACTAGACTAGAGTCAATTAGCTTAATATTTTTATACCATTTGCACACTGAAATTTAAACAAAATTACATGTAAATGGGTTGAATATTTCTTCTCTTAATAAATTTTTTCTGGACTTCTTTGCTCAGTTTTGTCATTAAAATTATTTTCATAAAAATCAGTTAAATATTTTAGTAAAATAATATTAATTACTTTTTTTGAATAACAAAAGTTGTCTCATAAAATGGAACTGGTTTATCGAATAATATCCGATAAAAATATTTATATCATTACAGAAATATTATAATTACATGAAATAAATATTACAATGGTTTTACAAAAAAATCTTGAACATATTCTTTAATAATTGAATCAATTATTATAAAAATTTTGCAATAGTGTTCCATTTCAATTATCATGGTTTAATTGAAAAATTATTTTGAGTAAATTATTTTGTCCATCACTATTAATATTATGTTGTTCAGTAATCTGCAAAATTACAATACAATGTGATAATTAAGACACTAGATTAAAATATAGTGATAGCCTACAATTGTCATAAAAAACATAAATTTACTAATCAGTCGAAAAGATTATTCTTTTATTTAAGCTTTGAAAATATAAAAAGTGTACAAATGAAGCAGTATAATAATTATAATTACAAAAACAGAAAATCTTGCAGCATATTTTTAAAGTATGACATATTAAATGAAATTATATACTAACTTAAATGAAAATGTTTTAAAACTCTCATCAGTCACAAAATCATATGGTAAATGTGACAAATAAAATGTATCAAAAACGTAAGTTATATAATATATTGAAATATTTTGGATATAGAAAAAGTTTTTAAACAGAATGAAACTAATAAACATATGTGTATGACTATTAAAGTTTGTTAATATATAAAATTTCACATAATTATATATGACCTTCACTGCGTTAACTAGAAAAAAACAGAGTAACTCAGTAACGTATCCAAAACTTTTTACTGTGGGAAAATTTAAACTTATAAACGCATTATAATTAACTCAAATAATATAATACATTTTATATCTTGTACCCACAAGCGAAGATAGAGAAGCATTCACCCAAAAATGTAACAAAAAAATTTATCGTTGTATAAAAATTATTTTTAGAATTGAAAAAAATTCAATTTAGCCTCCTTCGACCACCTAGTCTATTTTTGTACCAATTAGAAAGCAGCCATTTATCTTAGTTTATAATACATAGAAAAAATAAATCAATGGTAAAAAAATGTAAAAATATTTACATTTTATTATAATAAAAAAAAAGTATAGAATAACGACAACATTGACATGAGAACCAGTGTTTGAAAATCGAGTTTATAATACCTAATTAATAGTTTATTAATGATTTAATTAATATGATTTTTGATTTTAATAAAATATAAGACTTGAAACGATAGCCCGTTTTTTTAAATTTTTTAAAAGACAACGTATAATAACAATTATAAGATTATTTAATTCGTCATTAATAATTGTCACTGACTGGTGCCATTACTCTATCTTTGTAGTAGGTAGTAGTCTACTTTCAAGTGTGAATAATTTTAGAAGGTTCCTATAGTTACCTTAAGTTTTGCCATTGCTGTCGGGGATGGTCACCTCTACCCACCTTACTGAGTCAAGCACTGGGGTAACTACTAACGTATTTAAAACTGAAAAAACAAATGTGTTCAAATAAATTATTGAAATATTTTTTAGTTACTTCGAAAATCATAAAATATTTTCCTACACCTCTTAAAATACATTTTAATGGTTTATGACAACAATTAAATAACATGCATGATAATATCGCTTCTAGAGACTGTTCAACTTATTGCGAGACTGGATGTTATTTATGAATAACCAAGTTAAAAAACTATTTCATTTTTATTTTTCAAGTTTCCGCATAAAACGATTTTATTCCTCGTTTCATTACAATACTCAAGTACAACAGATAATTAATCTTAAATAATGTTTATGTGTTAGCTTTGATCGATAAACAAAAAAAGGCACGTAACTTAAGAGTATTAATTAAATGCGAATTCCATGCAATGAACGAAATAATACAAATCAACCGACTAAATTGACTTGCCGTATAATTCCTCGTAAGCACATAAAAATTTGCAAAACAGGGTATAGTTTTGCCAGGGAAAAAAATGTATATTAACTGGGACTGATGTAGACATTTTAATCTATTACTATCACAAGGCAAATTTAAGTAGTAAACTTAAATGTTTATAAACACTTCCATAAGATATATATATATATTTACGGTTTTTATTTCTCTTTTGCTCTATATGTTTTTGCTGTAATAAAAATAGTCGATAGTAAAATATCCACGAGTAACAAAGTTGATTAGGGTAATTGCTTTTATACAAGCAAAACGTTAGTTATTTATAAAAAAAAACCTGCGCGCAGGTTGGTCGACGTTGCGGTTTATTTCTGGATTGGCGTGCACACGTTGTGTCTACTAAAACTTCAGGTTCACATCCACTTGCACCTCCGGTTGTGCTAAAATGGCTAAACACCATTCCAAGATCAGGACACCCTTCAATTACACTTTATTACCCGGAGTCCAAATTACCACGTACATACCGAGCCGTAAATAAATCACGCGTGCGCGTCACCGTGTTTAATGGTACCCCAGGGGGGACGTCTTCCTGGCGACGACGGTAACTACACCGTACATGTATACGCGCCAATGTGGAATACCTGCTGTGTCGTTAAGTGCGCACCGTTGGGTTTTGTCCCTTTGACAGACAGGTGACACGCAGCTTGTACGTCGATTACAAATTATAATCGAATATTTTATGTTAAAACCAATAACGTGTATTTTAGCAACATAATTTTGCGCCGTGAAAGTCAATCATAGACAAATTCAAGTTTAAAATATAATGCGGTTTTACTGTGTCCTCTAAATTTAGCAAGCACTTTTACTGGCCTATTAGTGTGAAACAAATGTTTACTACTAAATTACATTGTCGATCACTTGATGCTTACACGAAAACTGGCTGAGATTTAATCGTGATAGACGAACTTTTTTATTTTATTAAGAAGTATTAATAAGATATTATGGTCTATTAGTGTACAGAAATGTACTGACCCACTGTGCTACTAAACTATAGCACAGTGGGCTGGCAAACGTTGTGTCAACAGACGAATACTGAAAAGATGCCGAGGCCATAATNTACATTGTCGATCACTTGATGCTTACACGAAAACTGGCTGAGATTTAATCGTGATAGACGAACTTTTTTTATTTTATTAAGAAGTATTAATAAGATATTATGGTCTATTAGTGTACAGAAATGTACTGACTCACTGTGCTACTAAACTATAGCACAGTGGGCTGGCAAACGTTGTGTCAACAGACGAATACTGAAAAGATGCCGAGGCCATAATTATTTACAATTTATTAATTTGTTTCGTTATTTTAATATTTTATTGGTTCGCAAAAAAATTATTTCCTAAAGCCGGTGGTAATAAACATAGCGATATTGGCCGATTTTTTTTTCTAAAAAAGTGAGCAAAATACCCCTCAGTCCGTCCTGTTACTGTTTGTAAATAGCTTTCTTCTTAGTAAGCCTATTTCAGGTTTAATAATTTTAGAATAGTACTCCATTGAATTGTTTGCATATTAATAATAACCAAGACTTAACATTTAATGTTCCAAATTTGGACGATTAATAATTTTTTCATATCAATCATGCTCGATAACTTTTAACTTTGATTAGCATATATGAAGTTTTCTAAAATATATATAATGAAAACAGTTTAAGAAAATCAAAAAGGATGTATCGATATATAATATATCCTCCTAATACCTCTCCATTTAACTATCTCTGAATTACAATAGGCAGTGCAAAATATAGATAACTAAGATTCACAATCAAAATCTCTACGAAGTATCAAAACAAAATAATTGATGACTTAACTTAATTTCTTCCACCCTTAAAATATATATAATATAATATAATTTTCATAAATTTTTGGAGTGCTTTAACAAAAGCGCCTAAGCCTACAGATTACACATATGTGCCTTCAAATAGAGTTTAAAGACTATTTTAAATTTTAGGGATAAAAATATCTAGGGGTTACAAAATGTATAGCATTCAGTTCAATTTTATTACTGCAGACTTAAAAATCGGTAGTAAAATTATTATACTATTCCACAAATAAAGTAATCAGGATCACCTCAATTTCAAGTCCGGTCCTGATCATACTAAAATACTTCAAAAAATATTCGAAGAGTTATTGAATAATGCACAATAAACTTATTATGTTCGTCGGAACAAAGTTAACTAAGTTACACCACTCAAAAACTAAGTTCAATAATTTAATACACTTTACAAATTTTAAATAAATATATATTTAGTTTTTAAACTAAATTTTGCAATTTTTTTTTAAATAAAAGTCACTTTAGGGAGCTATGTTCTAAATGTATGAAGTAACGCAAATAATTATTCTTTCATCAATTTGAAATGTAACTTTAATTTTTCAATAAATTTAAAATTTAAATTCTGAAATTATGTTTTAATTGTAACATTTAAAATGAGTGTAGCTTTCCGATTTTGCATTAAAATAATGTACAATGTTCCACCACTAATTTAAGTTTTAACATGAAAGTTAGATTTTTGTTGGGATATATCCCAAAAAATATATATATATTCATTTCTTCAACATTTGAAATGACTGGTAAAAAAATATTTCGTACAAATACAAAATATTTTCATATTTATTTTCTGTAATATTCTATTTCTTAATTTTTGACGAATCAAGTTCTCAGATTTATTAACTTCTTGAAAATATTAAAAAGGTCAAATTAATTAAATAAGAAAAAATTATTATTTCAAAAATAGTTTTTCCTTGTTATTCACAATGGTCTTGAAAAACATGAGGTTTTAAAGACATCCTATTAATAAGAAACCTGATATAATATAATTTTTATTTCGTTCCAATTAATGCTGAAACTATTGATGTAAAGAACTAATGAAGTTGAGTAACTAAAACAACGTAACAACCTTTACGTAAATTCTAAATAAATAAATAAACATCATGACGATTTCGTAGGTATGAGATAAGAGTTATTTAAAGCGACACAATCTTAATATCTACTCAATACTACAGGCAACATTGAATTTTAATTTAGTAAACAATACTGAAATAATACTCTGGTTCAATTAACATTAAAGATGTTATATTCAAAACGGTTCAGTCGTTTGCGCTGAGTTCCTTGATTGGTGGTATAGGATGACAAAGAGTTTGTCTTTGTATAAAAGAAAAAATATAGAGTTTCAACAAAAGTATTAACTATGTAATTCGAGGTCTAGGATTAAAGAAGCGTATCAACCATTTTTTATTTTTCACGAGAGAAAACTTAATTTTCATTTTTCAATTTAGTTAATGAAAAAAATGTATATTTTCTTAAAAATATATGCTTTTTAACATAATTAATGGTACACCATAATCACATTAAAAAATATTTTTTGTATTACTTGAAATAATAATCTAAACATTTTAATTTTAGTTGGTACATTTGTTTAATTCTAAACTATCAATGTTTGGATAGAATAATTTCCTAGATACAGTTAAATTTTCCAATAAAATACATTTTGATGATTCAAATTGTTATCATTCCATATAAAATCATACCCGAACCTTATCTCCAGTCTATACTTTAAAATAATTATAGCGTCCGAAATAAATAATCAAAAATTATTATCAACCAGTCATTTTCTTAATTAAATTATTATTATTATTTTATAAGCTATTTAAATATGTATGTTGCCATTTAAACAAATGAAGTTGTCACCTATGTATAAGGGATCAAAAAATTTACCTAGTATAAATAATTAGTGCGTCAATTTAATCTTAAATTGCATTTTCACAAATAGCGTATACATTTATGTAAGTGTTAATACTATTATAATTCTTTTATACAATGTATCATTCATATTATTAAAAAAATTCATTTTATTTTTATTTTCAGCAAAACATAGGCAAAATTGTACAGTTAATATACACCAAGAACAAAGTGTTAGTTGTAACTTTGGCCACAGGCTGAATTAGAAAAAGATTTTTGAGAAGCTTATGATATGATTTTTACTCGCCTAGAAAACATTTTTACAATACATTACCTATAATTTTCTGAATTTTTGAAGAGGTTTTTTTTTAAATTCATTTTCTTATACATTATAAGTGTCATTTTTTTTTTTATGGCAATATACATATATAAAAATTATATAATCAAGGACTAATGATCATTTTTTCTCGCCTAAAAATAACTTAACAACAAATTACATATCATTTTCTGAATTTTTGAAGAGGCTTAGCCTTAAAATCCCACTCCAAATTCCGCATATTATTTAGGCTCCCGACTTTTAGTTTTTATTCTCAGAGATTTCATTTTTGTATTGAACTACTTGCAAGTATAAAATATCGCAAATTTTAAATAATTTACTTTGAAATTATATTTTTTAATTAGCAAATATTTTTATTACCAACAATAAATGGAATGAAACAATTGTATTGTTCCATTTTACTCATATAATTGACCTCATTGTTTAAAACACAGTTTCATTAGTTATTTAATTTATCATTTTGATTAATTATACTTAATATTATAAGTGAATATATGTTTTATAATGTTTCATGCATGTGTCATATGACCTGGAATCCAGAATCCAGGTCCTAGATGCGCTGCTTCACTCGCTACTATTACAACGAATACGTATTTGAAATGTTTTGCTTTTCGATACTTTTTTTTGCTGCTTTTTGTTGACTGATTTATGTATCTTCTTGCAATGTATGATTGACACTTGTATTAATCATTGACATATCGAGCATTAGGTGTGCTGACGTACATATTTATTATTATAACACAAGCGATACGTATTACATCATAGATTATTATCACCATCGTCAATCAACGAACCATTATCACACAGATGATCACTGTATGTCGGCACTAACTTCATGGTGTATGTGTTTACTTATCAGAATGAGCTACATAGACAAGTGTACTATTACAACTTGTGATTTTAGAACTTAAAATATGAAATATGAACAAAATATAAAGATGAAATCAGTGTTTAAAGGAACTAGTTCCTTAAATGGATCATAAAAAAAAAATTACTCGATGAACGAATTAAAAAAAATGAACGAGGAACGGAACAAATTTAATTTCTTAAGAAAATGAAACTATTTTATCGTTCGTGCTACTACTAATTATATATTATAGTTTATAATCTATGATTTATTATAGCTAGGTGCAGAAGTAAATATAGCTCCAAATTAATGTTATAGTATTTAAAATTAAACGCAATATGAATGCATGTTACGAACTACAAGAGAAAATACGATTGTTATCTATTTAGATATTTGCAATTTAATAAGTATTATAAACTCAACTAGTAACGTTTCATCAAAAGCATTATTTAAAAATAACTATCCCAAATACCGAGAGCAAAATATAATAAATGATGGATTTTTGAAAAAATTTTATTATTCAATGAATAAGTTAATATACAAATTTTTAACTAAAAATACTTTTATTAGTTTAATTTGTTATGTGTTGTATATTTTGTTATGTTAATAAAACATTTTATTTAACTTTTCATTTCATATATTTATACTTCAAACTGTCGCGATAGATTTTCAATTTAAATAATTTTATTTAATTTTTTTATTCTTTCTTAATTAAAAATCAAATTTTAATCGTTTAAACATAATAGATAATATATATATATATATATATATATATATATATATATATAATTAATGTATAGTATATAGTTATGTTAGTTGTACTAACAAAACCAGGATAAAAAATGTATAACGATTTATATATAAATTGTGATTTCATAGACTCTTATGTAATGTTTACACTTTTATCAGTACATATAATATACATAAATGTGTTATATTTTCCATGTTGGTTATTTTGTATGTCAAATAAAAACTTATTCATTATTTGCATTATTATCATACTCATGTACTTTTATGTTTCTATAATTATTAATCATTAATTACAGTAATCTATGTGTTACTTCAAATTTTACTTGCCAATGTTTGTAAGTATAAGCCACCTTAATCTATTCTTTTTCGTTTTGTATCTAAAATAATATGAACACTATGAGCACAATGCGCGCCTAAGTCACGTTCTTATTATTAATTTAATTTCACACGCTGTTCTCGATTTGCTTTTGACCCGCTAAACGAAAATCCCTGAAATCTACTTACCAACCTAAACGGTTAAACTTAAGTGTGAATATTTATCATTCATGGAGTGGGGATGTTTTAACATCCCCACTCTTTTTTTTTATTGTGAACTAAATTAACATTAAATATTATATTCTAAGACATTCAATTATATTGAATTATCTTTTAACATTGTTGGCTTAGTGTAATTAAAATCGACTCTTCATGTTTTCAAACCAATAAAACATTTTTCAAAATATTTTTTCTTATAAAAATCATGTTAACTGGAATAATGCACATGGTTTTTATCAACAAACTGCGACCGCATACCACATTGTAGTCCAACAACACTGAAATTAACAATAACGATGCACAGAACACGAAGTCTATACAGACCTTGATTATATAGACTACAGTACACACACAATGTATACAGCACCGACCAACTCTTGGTTTGCACGTATCATTTTTTCTTTGGGGCAACTTTCCCAAACCACATTTTCACAATTGACACACAAACGTGAGCGGAATCATAAGTCACGTCGTCTAGTTTGTCGAACAACACAACCAAGATAATTTTATAAACAAGTGTATATATGCTATTAAATATAAAAATATAATAAAATGATATTAATATTGGATAAATGGCTGTGTGGTTTGTTTACAGTGCATTCATACAACAGCGCGTAAAAATGTATAGAATATTGAACTTTAATAGAATATTATTTTCTTATTGTAATAATAATCTGAAAAGATTCACTTATATACTGTATATAGAAATGATTTCTTGACTTTCAAAAAAGTTTTAGAAATCACTTACTTGTGTGTGGAATGCTCAACAAATATGCAAAAACTATTTTAACCTAATTGGCAATTCATTCGGAGGATTTTGATAATTTGTGTTGTAATTCCATCGTTGTTAGACCTAAGGAACTTCAGTAGAGTTTCGCCTCAAGACACGAAATTATATTCTACCAAAGCAAAGGACAAATGAAATTTACATTAAGCACAAAATGTAACACGATCGTTCATCAAGACTTATTCTTTAAGTAGTGTTCACGGGTACATTGTAATATCATGAAATACGAGCTTACGACGCGACTTTTACCTTCTCAAAATCATTTACATATCCTTTAGAAAAGTAAAACTAACATTCTGAACTAGATTCGTGAGATTCTTGTCTACTGGGAAAACTAAGAGTTCGCTGTAGCTTATATATTTCATCTGTACGTTCAAAGTAGTAAATTCTTTGTAGAAATACAGTTTATTCTATTTTTTTAATTTGATTAAAGACGTTTTACGTTTGTATCAACTTGATGATTATTTTCGAATTAAACTTTTAACGGTTATAAGGGGTAATATTTCTCACATAATTTATATGAAGTCTTTCGTGTAGAATTTTTATCAGCAAATTTCTTAAGTTTCTTGCGATTTTGTACGTACTCATCATTATTTTCGATTATAAGGTTTATTTCTAACAATAAGATAGTATAAAAAACCATTTGGATACATTCGTAACTCCCACATCTTTTATTTAATACATACTAGAAATGTGCTTTTCTATAGATATTTCATAATTTTATTTATCCTTAATTTATCAAACACAAGTTTCTTCAAATGTGTAGACAGAATAAATGCTATAAAATATTAAGCGTGTTGATGTTTCCCCTATATTTAATTAATTACTTTTAAGTAAATTTATAACATTTTATAATTTATATAATATATATATATATAGTATTTATGTAATACTACTTAAAATACAACTGTCTAGTGCACGATCAAGGAATATGAAGAAATATAAGTTATCGTGTATTTTCACTTTTAAAAGTATTAACTATTAATATAAGGATTCTAACTAACTATTTAAGTAATATGAAATAATTTTAATATTATAAACATATACTAACATTAGGTAGATTAAAGATGAAATCATGAAAAGATGAAATAAAAAAAAAATAATTATTTTATCTAATATAATGTTAAATAAATTAGTTATTAGGAGTGTAATTAATACGTCTAGAAATTCACTTTATATCGATGTTAAAAAAATTAATTAAATTAACTTGTAGAATCCCAAACAAACAGCCTAAAGCATAAAATATAAACCCGTTTTTGTTTGAGTTGTAAATAAAACATGCTAGTACAGATATCGTAGATTTATTTTGATCGTTAAACATTTATTTTTAGCCAAATAGTACTTAATAGTAAAACACAACAAAAGTAATTTACTTCTGTCAGAATTTCGAAGTAAAAATGAATTAGAAAATTTAATAATAAATAAAATATAAAACAACACAAGGTAACAGTTAACACAAGGTTATTACCGATTAAAATCGTAAGATTTTTATTAAAAAATTAGACGTTTAGATATAAAGTTATTATTAAACATAAAAGTCACTTGTTCCTGTATCTTTGAAGATGAACGTTTTACAAGAATTAAAAACAACAATTAAAAATAATCCCATGTTTTCACCTCTCGAATTTTAGCAATTACGACATGTAAGGGAATAGTTTCAAAAGAGATTTTCATCTAATGTAAAAATGATCTTGCAAGGCTTAATATAAGATAAAGAATGATAGAAAAAGAGAAATAATATTACTTTAATGGCAAAAGTGAAATATCATAAAATACTCTCAGTAAAACTAGGTCAGAAACTGATTTTATACAGTTAAATTTTTAGTGAAATCGTTTTTTTTATTGGTGATTTTTGGAACTTTCAACGACTAACGAGCTAAGTTTTCATACTTAAGTAAAGAGATACTTTGAGTCTTACTAAGTATTGATATTTATGATGATGGAAACAGTTGATAGTTATTAACATAATGAAGTAAGGAACTTTAAAGTGAATTTAATTTCCCAAAAGTAAAGTGTATTTATCAGTTACAAATTTAAGTACTTCAAAAAGAACCTATTGATTTTTAAAAAATCAAAATTGAATGGTAATTGAAATGCTTATTAAAAACTTATTAGCTATGAATAAATGGTTCATTAGATTGATTTTAATATGAATTAATGATGAAAAGGATGAAATAAAAACTCTAGAAGATATAATGATTTAAATCCTAAAATATATTAACGTGAACGTCTCAAAAATTTCTGGAAATTAAGCTTTCTTCCAAAGTATGAAAACTAGAAAATTGGATAATAAGTCGTTAGAAAATGCTCTCCAATTAAATGAAGAAAATAATTCTGTAAAATTAAAAAAAAATGATTAATTTTTAGTCAGATTTTCTTTAAACACGCTTTTCTTTGAAACTGTGAGACGGATTTGGTTGTTTGTGTTTTATTAGATCCGCCTTAACTATTAGAAGTACAATGAAGAGTTTCAGAACTCTACATTTCATAATTATCCAACACAAAGCTTCAAAGTTGAATTTCATGATAAATTTTAATAAATTACAATTGCACCTAATAAATTTTCACACTTACAGAATTAGTTTAACTATTAACTAATTATTATAAAGCTGAATTCTATGTAAATACAGGTAGCTAATTGGTTTTTTATGACATTGCTGTCACAGTCAAGGATTGTTTATTATTAATTATAACTATCAATAGATATCCTTTCTGTAT